TATGTTTTGTACATTTTAAAACTGCTGTTGCAAAGTCAATCTTATTGGTACATCTTAAAGCAGTTTCTAGTGAGAATTCTCACTTTACTATCAGAAGCCTACGATTAATGTTGCTTTTAGTAGGAGCTAGTTTTCGTTTGGCGAGATTGTATACTTATAGGTATTGAATATATTGCAGAGTTGATATTGACTTTTTCCAAAGCGCTATCATTTAGGTCTCTACATATAATGACATGTGGTTGGAAGTTTAATTTCAAGAGGAAATATTTCGCTAACATGTATCTTAATGGTGTATCCATCGGCTTTTATTAGAAATTTCTGTAAGTCATCTCATGGCACCGATATTCAAATTTGAACACCCGTTTTCACTAACCTAGAACAAATCATAAATTGGAAGCGCCTAATCTTACGACGGGCCTGAGCAAATTGGTTTATTTCTAAATAATATTTTTTTCTTTCATCCTAGACACATTTGTAAAATTATGCAAACGTCTAGCACAAGGCACAGCTTATAACATATCATAACTTTAGATATTGCTTATCGTCCTTAGGTTATTACTAGTCATTAGTGAAATGAATTTTTACCCTAGGCGATTCTTAAGTATTTAGGTGACAGATTTGGGCGACACCTAAATTTAGAGAAAACGGGTATTAGATTCATTATTTCTCAGGATCTGCATGAATAATAGGAACATTTGTTATCAGGCTTTAAACATTTTTTCCAACAGGGCTAGAAACTTGATATTGCGCTTTTGCAACTCGTCAACTCAGTTAGACCAAATTTTATAAAAACATATTTTTGCAGTGAATGATGTTTTGTTTCTTTTATTTTATTTAGGTCTTCGAAAACATATCCTTTGTGAAAATATGTCTTTTTTAACTACTATATATTATAACGCCCCTGATTTAGGCGCTCTTCTGTCACTGACACCCGGGGCAAGTGCCCCATTTGCTCCCCTTAGATCCTGCCCTGTTTGCTATTGCGTGTGAAGTACACCCACGGGCAGGTATCTTGACTTTACAGTGGAGTGGAATTTCGATTATCGTTTATTAATTTACATAATGGTTCATTAAGATTAGTTGACACCCAATTGTATACAGTGGGTTAGCTCTTGTATTTCATTGGTCGGTAAACCAAAGACTTTCCAATGTAAACGCCTACATCCGTATGCATACCACAACGATCAATAAAAACCGACCGACTCCGAGTCGGACTCGCCCACGAAGGGGTCCTTACTATTATCAATTAAAAAAGAAAAAAAACGGTTTTCTCTTCGTAATTTTACTTTACCACTTTAACAGCGTAATTAAAATGTATACTCATTACAAATCACAACTTTCTAGTACCAATATGTTTTGAGCTTAACCACCGACGGAAGGCCGGACATGACGTGGCGAAACTATAAAGGCTTTTTGTTTACTAAGGAACCCTAAAAATTAACCATTAATCGTTATCTGTTATTCAACAATCCGCGTGAGCTTTAGGATACACGTAAGGTTACAACAATGTCATATTTCCACGTGATTTTGTACTCTACCACAGTATGCAACCTTATGGAGAAAATTGACAGTTTTGAATTATCCTTGACTGTACCTACTTAAAATGCAATGTCTTGTAAAAAAAAACATTAGGCCAAAGAGATATATATGAATAATTTTCCGAGTATATGAGTCACTCAATTATTTGTTGGATGAAGTTTGGCATGCATGTTAGTAGATTCCTACAGGACTATCTTATTCGGATAAAAGATTCCCTGGAGATTTTAATTCCGAAGTTCACGGAGGGGAAAGTTTCGGTAAGAGATTATATGCTAGTCTCTATCCAATACTAAACTTACAATATTATTATTTATTTCTAAATATTCTTACAACAGGATATTTTCAATCACAATGTATTGAAATAATAAAAATCTTAGACATCATCATGCTCTCTTACTATGAAGTATCTGTGACAACGAAGGTACCACAACACCCAGACCCAAGACAATACAGAAACTTTCCACATTTACCCGCCGGGAATCGAATCGGACCTCATAAGTAGCTACCGTGAAACTGACGTACGAACCAGTCGACTAAGGAGATTTAATCTGTTCCGTTTCTTTTCCTATGCCTTATTTTTTCTTTCCCTGATTCGGTAAGGGTTTGTGCTTGCAATATAAGTATTGTAAGTTTAAACCCTTACTGTATAGGTACAGTAAAATATTGTAATCAGTGCACAAAATTTGATATTGTATTCCTAATGATGAAGCATATACACGTTATTTTTCCCTCTTCTCTCTTTTTGTTACCATTGGAGATAAAAAGTGAAAAGTCTATATACATGTGAAATCATCATCATCACCAACCCGTTAATGTCCCCACTGCTGGGGCTTAAGTCAAATAGGAACAAATCGCCCCTATGAATGGGTCATGACCCACCAATTAGGCCCAGTGCGGATTTAGCGACTGCAGATGCTACCGGGATCGACGGTTAACATGAGGAGGAGAAGGAGGAAGGGAAGACGATTTTTGGTCACCCATCCTATGACCAGCCATTGAAAAATTCGCTTAACTACCGTATCACAGACCAAGCGCACTAACCACTGCAGGTTCAAAGGTTTTTACAAAAGCAAATAGTGATATCCTAAAATATATTTGAACATTATAATAGACACATAGATTTTAAAACAATGTACAATCGCACCTCGGAAATCCTTTCAATGGTTTCCCATAATTAATTAGGAACATTTGCGGGGTCCATTGTAAGAACCCCAGAGATCCGTATCACAATAAACCCATTTCTGACCCAATGAGTCGGGTTATAAAACTTTCACCCGTTCCTTGTGGCAATGGAGCTTGTAAGGCGGAATGCAACTTTTATTGTCTCGCTTCTGATCTAGTGTTTGTATACATTTGTAATGTGGATTTAGTGAAGCAAGAGTATCGATAAAATTCTGTAAGTATAGATAAAAAATGTTATAAGTGTTATTATATTTTATTACATGATTGCCCAAAAATGGTGTATTGAGTTTAAGCCAAGCTTTGATACAACTTGTCTCTTTTAATTATAGTTTGATTTTGGCATATATTTTCAAACTATTTATTTAAAGGTTCTTCATTTATTGAATTTGAGAAAAAAGCTTTTTTAATTTTAATTTTTTTTTTGTCAATTTTGTATTCACGATGCTATACTCATTAAACAATTTTACACAATTGAAAATCAATTTATCTGACTTGTGAAACTAAATTTTATCCGTTTTATTATAAAACGAATACTGAAATGAGCACTTACTTTAAACCATTGACCCCCTAAAGCAAATGACAATGACTGAAGAGAAAACATCAAATTGAGACGTGTTGAATTAATTTGGTCGGATAATCGTTTAAACCTGGTACTAAAGAAAGTTCTTTTTTATAATAACACCTACCTTTACTATTATTGTTTAGTTGGATCAGATGGTTATAGTCCTACTTGGATGTGCAGCTTGTTAAGGAGACTAGAAGGAAAATCACTGAGTGTAGTTGAAGTAGATCGAAAGTTAAATATAGATATATTAAATCACAGCGAAACATAGAAAGCGCGATGCAGGTTTCGCGGCACCATTTCGTGACTAATCGATGTGTTGGTTTCGCCTTCCCTTTTTTATTGTGACGATGTTAGCGCCACAAGGTAATCAAAAACTTACTATATTCGGTTTCTATTACAAATTAATACTTGAAACGTGTAAATAAAGAATTTTATAATCATTAAAATGTAATAATAGTTCATGAAAAATAAAATTATGAATAGAAGCGAAATTTCTTGTCGATATTCATCAATCCCTAGTCTCAAGCGGATGTTTGTGTGAAAACGACGAGAATAGAAATCGATATATCAGTCCTCCCCTATATTGGGCTCATTTTACTATGATTAGCAAGGTTGTTGACGTCACAAGAATAGAGACTGATTTAATCTACATCATCTATTATACACAAATAGCTACGGTTATAGCTCTTATTAGGTCTGTTGTACTACTCATACCCATTATGACATCTCCATCTATTGAGAATTCCAGTAAAGGGGAAAAGCTCAAAAAATATCCATGTAAATGTAGAAATGACATTTCTTTATCTATCTCATTGATGTTAAATAAAAGGGATACACATTATACAGTGGACCATGAATGTCTTGATATTCTGTAATAAATACAGCCTTGAACACAAAGCGGCATTAGAGGTTCGATATTATAAAACTTTTATTATATTATGAAGTAGGTTTTGTTTCCGATAATCACTAAACAAACTTCTCATAGCCGACACTGCGTTTAATGCTGCCTATGGATGCTGATTTTTAACTACGACCAACGTAGGTACACAAACTAAGAGCAAATCATCCATAAGCGTGGCATATTTTATGTTTTAGAACAATATTATTGAGTTCTATGGTAGTTGGATTGTTCATTGCTGCCTACCCTATACTCCATCGCCTCGCAACCCCACCCCATTGGCCATTTGAGTTAACCCATTTCTTAGTAGTAAGGCAGGCGTACCCTACTGGGTACGAACACGATAACGACAACTTTTACGAGCATATGATAATAGTCACAAGCGGATTTACCAGTAGGCCGAGTAGGCTGTAGCCAAATTTTATGGGCGGCAAATTTGGCCGTAATACTTTTTTTATTTGTGAGTCGGTAAAAAATCATATCGAAACTAAATATAACTTATTGTCCACACAAAAAAAAGTTAAGAGATTAAGCAACTTAAGTAAAATCTCGAAATCGAAGGCACGATAAGACATTCGTTTCGGATGCACCTGCAGTAGTGAACACCCACTAATCCGCACTGGGTCTGCTTGGTGGGATATATAGCCCGTTCTACATGTTTGATTACATCCATAGCTAAGCTAAGCCGTAAGAGAGGGAACATTAATAGGCTGATGATGATGGTACACTTTCGTTATTTGAACTCAAATTACAACGACGAATTAAAATAACGGTGCAGTTTGATAAAGTGTAAAAAAAAATGACGTTGACAAAAATCTTATTTATTTCAATGATAAACAAATTAAAAGAGATGTGTTAACACACATTCGCTGTTGGAGATTTTTATTTTCTTTTTTTGATATATAAAAACACCTAGATAAAAATTGTCAAAGTATTTTTATCTATATCTTATTATTGTGTATATCTGAATAACATTGTCTCGTAGTTACACAAACGCCATCTTTGTTTCTGAGGTGTCCTTCTTTACACAAGCATGCAGGGTGGAAACAGTCAGGTGTTATCGAAGGACAAGGAGGGGTGTATTTCAAATCTGAACACTTTTTGTAGCAGACTCTCAGAGCACAGAAATCATAATATTCATTTTCCGGACAATCTGAAACAAAAATATATTCGTTGTTTTTAATCGATTACCCCAAATCGATTATTTCGCAAGTAAAGCATGTCATAGTGCCTTATCGTCTATGGACCACTTTATTTGTTTGATAGTGTTTTTCTGCATTTTTGGATAGTTATTTTTAGTATTGCCAACATAATGTGATTCGTTAAATCTTTTTGCGTTCCACCCAAAAATAAATTATTACAATGAACACTATAATCAAATTACGTTGTGTATAAAATAATATTTCTGCTTTATACTAGGCAAAATAATAAAAACAGTTCTTGTTTTTTGACGAACTGACTCATTTATTTTTTTAAATCTATGAAAAGTCTTACCAAAAGGCTTCCGTTCATCTGTCACCGCTCCTGCATAAACCAGATTAATCAAAACAGCTACCAAACATAAAGAAAACACAGAAGACGACATTATTACAGTATCATTAATACACAAATGATGCAAAAAGTACAAGTAGATGCTATTTATATAACTATTCAAGTTAGTAACAAAATCATTATCATAGCTTACAATTGTTATTTTCCTCAAAGTGTGATTTACAGGAAACTACTTCATAGTTAATAATATTTTGACATAATTTTTTTCATATTTAAAAACAAAAAATAATACTTCTTAAACCGAATATTGTTATCAATTTTGCCTAATTAGTATACCAATATTTCTATATACGTTAGTTCTGTTAATTAATTCTATTATTTCCTTTATAGATAACTACTAACCTGAGAACAAGGTCACCTTACGTGATTTACTACGACGACCGCAACTTCGCCCGCGTATATTATAACCTCTGTCATCCGCATATGATATAGCTTCTTGTAGCTGAAATAATTTTTAAAACCAGCCATGCGATTCTGTAAATGCAATTCGAACATCGGAAATCTAAATCCCCGGTGCGATTCTAATTTCGTATTATGTATAAAACGCCTCTAGCGCCTCACTGTCGGATGCGGGGTGAACTGTACTAAGTGAGGTTTTGATATTACATGCATAAAGAAGGGTACTCTTAATGAAAACTCGATAGTCATCTCGACGATCGAAACACGAATTCACTGTCAAATAAGCAGTTACAAAGTAGTGATCATATGATCATATTTACGGTAAAATATACTAAAGCTGTATAATATCTCGTTAATTTTTTTTAAATAGGCTTCCTATGCCTTAAATATAACAGTCGACGTCAAGATGATAATTTTCTACGCCTAAACATGTTTAGGCGAATCATGAATTACCTATGTGATTAGGTAAATGTTTGAAATTAGAAATAAAGCATGAAAGATTCAGTATACTTACTATTTTTGTAGGCGCTACGGATGTTAAGCAGTTGTCATAAGGGCCCATCATATGATAGGTGACCAATACTTTACTACTATCTTGAGGTCCTCCGGACTACAGAAGGCATGTTAAGTCGTTACTTTTTACGTTAAAAAGTTAGAGTACGTTACGTTAAAACAAAAGCTCATCACTTTTGGCAACAGACACCAAATACGCGTTTATTCCTTCCGATAAACCAAGAAAACTGAAGACTTAATAGAATCATAAAATATTTTTGAGAACAAAATTAAATCGCACTTCTTATTTGACCTAAACTTTGAGTCAACAAAACATCGACAAATCAACCCAGCCAAGATTTTAAGATTTTATGTTTTTGATTTAATGTTTTTTTTGTGTAGAATAACTTTTTTGATGCCGTATTTAATTTAAAAATACAAATCAAGATTAAATGATTCATATATACCTCAGATATTCCATCCCTAGCTCATTTCGAATCTCACTTCACTTTATTTGTGTTACGAAACGTTTAGAGAATACCAATTCAAGAATAACGGATTAGTTTTCGAAGAGAGTTCGGTCACCTGTATGAATTCGAATTTGGATTTGTTTTTTTACAGAATCTACAAATCTGTATTTCCGTAGACTATCCCCTACAAATGCCTACTATAGTGACTACTTGCTCTTGAAACATTGAACGTGTAGTACTTTCTATCTTATAAGAAAAGATAATAAAAATAAACCTCCAAGTATCTTATGAAATGGATTATTCAACGATTCCCACCTATAATACAGATATAAATATCCGTTACTTTTTTCACCTATTCAAATGCTCTAATTTAAAAAGAGAACCCTCTTCTCACTATACGGGGGATTACAACAAGTGATAAAGATCCCAAACACCTTATTCCTATTATCAAAATTGGTATCTATTTGGACTGTACAAAATCAATCGCTTTTTTTGTATGGTAAAAGTAAAATAAAAATGATAGAAAAGTTTCATTGGATTCCCAAAACAGGTAAGAGTAGCTTTTGTTTTAGTTGCGAAGTAGGAGACCAAAGGGTTCTCCTATCGCTAGTCGCCATCGGCATTTTTCACGTCTCCAGATCCATTCACTACCGCTACAAGCTATACGGGACAGATTTTAGAATTAAACTTTTAATTACTTTGAGAGATATTAAAAACTATTATACAATTATTCAAAATATGTTAAATGAATAATAACGTTTAAGGATTTCATAAGTAACGTTTAGAATACGTTTTTGTTAGCATCTGAATTTGTGTTTTATGATACCAAATAGTCCGGCATTATACTGATTATCCTTAGTTACTGATTATTTTTAATACAAAATTTAATGCTGTAAATTGGCCAACTAATGGTACATTTTTTTAATATTAACAATTTTATTATTAAAAATCAGACAATTTTAAAAGTATTAATGTTCGATTTATAATGCGAGTATATTCAATAATATACATAAACACGAATTCAATAATCTCAAAGTAATATACAATTAAACTTCATGGGAATTAAAGATTTGTTTTGAGTTTATTAGGATAATTAACCATCTGACTTCAAGGCTTGAGTTGAGTTAATTTATAACTGTTCTCATTAATATTTAATTATTTTGGTAGTAAGTATTATATTTATGAAACGTATAAAATTGTTTCCCTATTATATTGACTTAAAAGACTGATGTTTAGAAAATCCATTTAGAATTAAAAAAAATACTATAAAAGGGAGCTTTGTGCGCGACTTAAATTGAGTCATTTAAGTTTTTTTTTTCTAAACTTTCTGCCAGAGGCTTTGTCCGCGTTTCTCTTGAATAACTCTATAAACTGACGATAACCAAAAACCCTTTGTGAAGATTAAAAGATCTCAGTATACATACAGCATAAAACAACTTTTACATTATACTATATACAGATGTCATTAATCTTGTTTGCTAATTATATGTAAGAAACTATCATTTCAAAACACTTAAAATGCGAATTAACCATCGTAGGTTGTATGGCATTCCTGTACCAATTCAAATAAAATAGGAAACATTTATTAATATTATTGAAAAACAATATATCATGGGACATACGAAAAAAAAGATTATTATTCTGAAATCCGTTCGCAAAATAACAATTCACAAAAAAAAGTTGTATTCACGTTGTTTTAGAAGGCACATCACTCTAATACCTTTAAGAAACCAGATCTAACGTACACCTTTTACCAGTTCAAATAAACTGGATAAATGTATTTTTCCGACCAAATACAATTAGGCAGTACCAATATATTTGTACGAAAACACGGGCTCTCTAAGCCAGTATTGCCAACTTATTGGATTTTCCGCTAATACTGGTGGTTTCAATCCCCGTTGTGGTTGTGAAAAATTTTCCTTAGTCACTGGTTTTAGTGGAAGATAAAATAAGTAGAATCACTCAACTACTCATTTATTTACATGGGCTTTAATTTACAAAATGAAAAGAAAAATAAATTTCAAAAGAGTTAAATCTGATACGAGAGGCCTCCAGTTAGATCTACTATTATTCCTATACTGCATTTAAATTTTGTTATAAGATTTTTCTGTCGCAATTTTCTATTAGTGAAAATGTTTGGTAAACACTAGGCTATTCTGGAGAAAAATCAAAATGTCTTCTTCCGAAAGATTCGATTCTTGTTTAGTAGTTTTCTGGTGATTTCGGAAGTCTAATCCGGGAGATAGCAATCTTACCGTTGGCAATGCTGCTCTAAGCTTCGCTTGAACCGGAGAAGTGAAGCGGAACATTGAATATTAGGTACTGTATTAAATTACCCGTTCTTTCAAATTGGTATCAGCGTACAACTTTTTTCATTTGTTCTATATACAAATTGAACGGCAAACACAATTTAGACTTTTAGTGGTGTTTATCTTTTGTTTAATGCATATTTTTCCTCAGTCTTATTTCCTCGCGGCAATCCAATATGAGGCAGTAATATAAGTATAACTCATCCCATTGTGTTTGCTGAGTAATATATCCCAGAGCTTATGAGAGACTTAATTATTTGTCCATGATTGATAGATTTTGTTATTCTAATCAAGATTGAGATATCAATATTGGTTTCATCCGAGGTAGTGTGAAAATATCTTATGTTACATTTTCCACGAGAACAAATAGCTAATCAAAACATACATGATACATATCGTACTTTATAAAGAATAGTTCTATAATAAATAAGAATATGTCACTATAAAAAAAATAATTATGTTGTTCTAGAATCGGAAATGAAGGCAATATCTTTAGATGAGGGAATTAATTAAGTATTATGGAAAATTCCTTACCATAATTGATATTTTCAACGAATTTCTCTATGGAGAAAAGTAGGAAGTCTTGACGATGATGGCTTTAAAGAATACTTTGGTAAAAGTAAAAGATTCCTTAGGGATAACAGATTAGAATTCTTTGTAATCCAAGTCCCAAGGGGAAGTTAATAAACGAATAAAATCAGGAACACACAGTCCGTAGAAATAAAAACCTATAAATATATAGTGGAATTAAATATGTAATAAATAAAGTTGTCACTGGAAGAAAACAAGATCCACAAGTCGATAAATTTCCAAGTTTATAAAATTTCGTTGGATTCTAAACGAGACGTAAATTATATTATTTTACGCCCACATTTCCGCAAATTTATCAATTTGCGACGTCTCCTGGAAAATTTATAAGCTAGCTTCTGTGATTGGTGAAACCGTTCAGAATCTACGGAATAGATTTCCGTAGATTCTGAACGGTTTCACCAATCACAGAAGTTTTAATTTTACGCTTGTTTGAAATACAGCAAATAATACACTGCTCTCTGATAAGTCAATGTTGACAGTAGCAGTGCTTGTGTCCATAGACTTGGGTGCAATCAATAGACTTACCAAACTATAATTTGTAGTTGCAATGCCTGGTCCTTCTCTGTCTCAGGCGTAGTGAGTAGGACTTGCAATTATTAGTTTCGATTACCTAACATTGTTTCTACTTTAGAACTACAGGTATCATTACAGGTTTATTTTTTACGAAGGCGAATATATTCGGTGTAGAGGAAATAGAAGTAACACGTGACTTATTCAACCAATTAGAGCGCACATGGCGTTTGGTTATTGCTTACTTATTATTTTACGCATGAGTTCGGAAAGTTTATCAATTTGCGAAAATGTGGACGATAAAGTAATACAATTTATCTCTTGT